AACAAAATTACTGGTTAGTTTTTTAAAATTTTAATTTTTTAAGAAGTTAATAGATTTTAAAGATCATCTATTATATCAGAGAGTTAAGACTTCCTGCATCATATTAGGAGACCTGCCTAGTGTTCAGGACCAATCTCCATATAACAAACAATATGATTATACTAGAGAACATATAAATATGTATCAATTACAAAATATCAATAACCTCAAATGTATTAATCCAAATTTATTAAATAAAGAATCATATTTAAATAACCAATACACGATACGTTCTGCCAAAGAAAATTTATCAAAGAAAATGAAAAAGAAAGCATCAGAAGATCCTGATTACCAATACTTACTTAAAGACTATAAATTTGTGAAAGATTCACAAATAGTCCCAAATGAACCAAAAAGAAAGAAAGCATACTTCTTTATAGCACTAATAAATAATCAACCAATTAAAGTATTACTCGATGAGGAAGCAAGTGCTAATGTCATAGGATTAGACCTAGTACGAGAATACAATTTACTCAAATTATTAAAAGAACTACCCACCAGGACAGCACAATTACCTGGAAGAAAGATAATTAAAAACTATGGAAAAATTACAGTACCCTTTCAAGTAGATGGATACAAAGAAAACCTTAAGTAACAATTATTGAAGGAAACCAAGCATACCTTCTATTCTCTAAAATCGATCAAGCATGATTAAATATATCTAAAGATCGGAAAAGATGCATCATTCTTATACATGGTAAACCAATAAACTAACAAGATATTGATAAGAACTACCAAATTCTAAAAAGGTTTAGGCATTATGATCAAGTCTCTATTCATAATGATCTAGTTTCTCAGGTACCCCTCTGAACCTTGAGATTAAGCGAGTCCAAGCTAGCCAAATATCTCGAAAACTGAGATACCCCTCAAAAATCAGAAAAAAACCCGCAAATGACACGCAACGTGGTATCTAATACGGACCACAACCAATCAAGAATAGTGTCAAATCATACTAGTCGCCAAGGAGTAATATTAAGAATGGCGCCCAGTACCCAAAAATAGGTAGAACAGGAATATCATAATCTGTAATATAAAAAATTGATTAATGAATTAATACTTTATTTATTCAATGAACAACTTAACCTATTAAGGAAACAAGTGGAAAGGAATAAACAAAAAATCAAATTAATAGGAACCACTTGTGATGGCAGATGGTCATAAATAGTAAGAACTGCTTTAGCTACAGACTCTAACATCCTTCAAATCTTCCTAACATATAAAGAATTAAATGGACAATTCAAAAATGAACAAAAAAAGAGATATGCCGAATTACAAAATGGTGAATCTGATAAAACAGAAGACAATAATATCATAATGGGCAATAAGAATATTGGGCTAAAAATGGTACTACATATTACCTTAGGTTTGTATATTAATCAACCATTGTATGGGCACAATGGTAAGAGAAATTGAAAAATAAATAGAATATTACAAGAACTTGCAAGAGTGCAAGAAATGAACATTAGATGGGCTGTAATATATATAGATACCTTGGCTGGAGATAAGAAACGATCAGACGTAATCGATAATATTAATGAAATATTACGCGTAATAAACAAAAACTGATGAGATATCGGATTACTATTAGAAAACTCAGCCAGCAACAATTGTTTTAGTGCAACTATTCCAGACCTCATAGATATAGTAAATAGTACAAGTCAAGAGTTAAGATATAAAGATAGGGCAAGACTAAAGAAGCGAATAGGTATATGCTTCGATACGCAGCACTGGTATGCTGCAGGGCAAGGTAAGAAAATCGATGAATATCGAAACATACTAAAAATGTATGGACAAGAAATTATGTTAGTACACATGAATAACAGCCCACCGGAAGTAATATTTGGCAAAGGAATGGATAAATATAAGCACCTATTAGATCCACAAGCAAGTATACAACAAGAAGTATATCAGATGATTATACAGTATAAAGAGGTCTATGCTGTGGTAGTAGAGACACCGTCAAATGAGACAGCTAATCAAATAGCACAAATACATAAAATCTCTAAACTAAGAGAATAGGCAGAAGACACATTTCAAGAAGAAACACCTCAAGAAGAATGGTCTAAAGGAAAAGACCAAGAATTAAAAGAACATAGAAATCAGTATGAAGGACCAGGATCATCAGGAATGACAATTCCATTAGGAATAGAATTTAATGACCTAGAAATAACATTACTTGCAGAACAAGTAAAACGAATGACAGTTGCAGTGGAATATGAAGTACCGCAAAATAAACAAGAAAAGAAATTGAATCAACTCTATCTGGAAGCTGCGCAAAGAGAAATAGATCAATTTAGAAAACAAGTAATAGAAAAAGACAATACTAAAAAAGATAAGAAAGGAAAGCTAAAAGCTTAAATATTACCTTTAATCAACAAGAAGAAAGCAAAATCAAAACACCAAAAATAGGAACATTTATTAAAACATAATTGTCACAATTAGATTGGATCTTACAATTAGAAAAAGAACAAGAAGATTCAAGAATTAGAACAGGATTAAGGCAATTAAAACAATGATTAGAAAGCATGGAAACAAATTATAAATATGTTTCCCAATTAACAAAGCAACAAACTAATGAACACATCTGAGAGATTGAAAAAGTCACAAATAGAAAAATATCAGAAGCCGAAACAGCAGAAGATAAAAAAGCTTATCTATATAAAACAATATTCACATTAACAGAAACAAAGGATGCTATTCTTTGGAAGAATAGGGAACTAATAAAAGACTTAGAAGAAGAATATAAATATGCAACTAACCAAGCACTAACCTTGGATAAAAAAGACTTTGAAGCAATGGAGGAATATGAACAACGAATTCTAATAAAAAGATTCGCTAGACAAATAGAATTATGCGAAAGTGAACCATTACAAGAATAATACCAAGCAAAATATAGAGAACTGCTAGGAGTATCCTTAGAAAACTTAGACAAGATGCATGACAATAAAGATGAAGAAGAGCAAATATTCCAAGAACAAATATGAGCCAGAACAAAAGGCTTAGAATTACCAAAAACATTATCATTAAAACATCTGTATTATGAAGAATATATACTAACAATAAATGAACCATGAGAAACAGAACAACTAGCAGATAGATGGCTACTAGATGACAACTTCAGATGAACAATAGAATGGATAAATAAACAAGACAAAAACCAATATTCAAAAATACCAGAGCAAACAATATCAAGAACTACAACAAAACCAAGTTTACCAACATTACCAACCTTTTTTGATAAAGCAAAAGAAATGGTACAGGGCACTTTAAGTGCAGCACAACAAATGCTAAGTAGAAGAAATTCATTGCAATCGACACAATTATCTTATTCTAAACAATATCAACATAAATCGTCACCACTAGTAAAAGAAGTACAACCAACTGATATAATATCAGAATGAAGCAATCTTTATATACCAACAAGCAAAGACGATGATGATGATGATAACCAACCAGTATTACCAAAATATGGTCATAAAAGACAAAGATCACAACTTTCAAATTAATCTTCAGTAAGAAATCCAAGACTAGAACGATTTAGAAAAGAAAATCAACGAAGACAAGAACTATTCAGGCAAACAGAACAAGAACAATTAATACCAGAAGATATACAACAAATAGCTGAATTAGACAGCTATATTCTAGAAGATACAAAGGACTATAATGATTATAGTTAATATAACTACCAACAACAAGGAGAATTATATGATCCAAATAACAAATATGAAGCAGGAGGATCAACTCTACGATATGAACCAAAAGAAACTAAATAGACACGAGTCATAGAATCTGAATGGAAGGGACAAAAAGTCTTATACCCAGTACCAACAGGGCAGTTAGCATTAACGGATGATGACTGGAGAGAAGTATACAAATACAAAGATCTGGCACAAGCATGGATAGAAAATGCAAAACAAGAAGCAGAATTAGAAGATCTAGCTGAACACAAAACCGAAATAGATTCTGAATCAGAACCAAAACAAGGATATGGTATACCCAGAAGTATATCTGATATAACAGATATAAATCTTAACTTCTATAAAGAAATAAAGAAACAATATCCTACTCATATTAGACACATCATATTATCAACAATACAAGAAGGAAAAATGCTAAATACCAAGTATTAGCAAATGAAGAAACAAATATACCCCCTATGACTATAAGGCATATCAAGATCCAAAAACCAATAAAAGAAGATCTTTACATAAAAACCACAGCTAGAGAAGCCAAAAAGGCAGTAATTGTACAGCCTGGAATAGCAAATAGAAAATATATAACAATAATGAACTATTCAAATAAGAAATTTAAAATTAAAAAAGGACAACACATAGTGAATGGAGAGAAAGTCAAAATTAAAAATTTTGATGCAAAGAAGTGGAAGAATTTTGAACCAAAATTTTCTTCAAAAGTTACCAAATTTCGACGAACCTATCGAAAGTGAAAAGAAAAGAATTAAAATCCTTCAAGACTGCTATCTTAAAACTGGAGGACCAGAAGTGTGGAAATTAATCAAACATATTTTAACCAAATATATCGACGTATTTTGAGAAAAAGAAGAATTTCATACATTTGTAGACCCAAATGTGATAATACCGGTAAAATTTAAATTTAAACTAGAAATAGATGAAAGAAAAATATCATTAAAAGACAAAATACAAGGAGGACAAAAGTATTCAAAAGAAGATTTAATAGTGATAAGAAAAATGAAAGATGATCTACTGAAAAATGGGATAATATATAGTGGAGACACAGATTAGCAAAGTCCCTGTATCGTAATAGAAAAGAAAGATGGAACAAAAAAGATTGCAATTGATTATAGAAAACTAAATAGTTTTTTCCTACCTATTAGAAAACTGTTACCCGATACAAAACAAATGCTACAAAGAGTAGCAAGATATAGATATTATATAACAATAGATATAAAATTAGCATATTGGCAAATATTAGTAGCAGAACTATCTAGAAAATATATGGCGATACAATTTGCAGAATACGGAACTTATTGTTAGAAAGGAATGCCGTTTGGAATCCAAACAGCACCCGCATACCTAATAAGAGCAATAAATAAAATATTAGGAGATCTGGAATATGTATTAATATATATAGACGATATAGTAATATTGTTAAAAGATAAAGATGAAGTACAAGAAAAACTAACAAGGGTGTTAAAACGCTTAAAAAAAGTGGTTCTAAAAATTAAACCATCAAAATACGAATTTCTTGTGCAAGAGACAATCATACTAAATTGTAAAGTATCACATGGAAACATAGGAAAAAATGTATTAAAAATAGATAATGTAGACAAATTTGTGATACTGAAGACTAAACAAGAGTTACAACGCTTTCTAGGATTTATGAATTATTTCAGATATTATATAGTAAACTTTGCAAAAATAGCAACTGTACTCTATAAAAGAGTAGGCAAAAAAGACTTTGACTAGAACGAAGAATGCCAAGAAGCAATGAAAAAGCTTAAAATAGAATTAAAGCGAGTACTATCATTATCATATCCAGATATGAATAAACCTTTCTTTATAGAAACAGATGCCTCTGATAAAGCTATCAGAGCAATATTATACCAAATAGGAGACAAATCATGGGACTATTGGAAGGTCAAAGACAAAATCAAACGAAAAGAATTAATTAGAGAACAAATATTAGCAGAAAAAGATTATACCAAACCGCCACGAGGAAATATTAAGATAATAGAAATAGAATCGATATCCTTATTAGAACCAAAAAGGAATTGGCCAGTAATACAAAAAGAAATATATGTGATAGTACATTATTTAGAAAAATGGAAACATTATATAGGAAGTCAAAAAGTATACATATACTCTGACGCAACAGGAATAACTGCACGAAAAGGAATACAAAGTAAAGCAATCACTATAAACAATTGGTTAATGATGATACAAGACTTTGACTATGAGATACATAGGATAGAAGAGGCAAAAAATCTTGCTGCAGACTTTCTATCACAAGGAACCAATAATGAGTTAGAAGAACTCAAAGCGTGGAAAGAGAGCCAGAAAGAGAACAAAAAAAAAATAATATATTTATTATAATAAAACAATAATATACAAAGTCAATCACTATCATAATAACCAAATGTTTATAGTGATTGCTTTACTTTGTATTCCTTTTCGTGCAGTTATTCCTGTTGCGTCAGAGTATATGTATACTTTTTGACTTCCTATATAATGTTTCCATTTTTCTAAATAATGTACTATCACATATATTTCTTTTTGTATTACTGGCCAATTCCTTTTTGGTTCTAATAAGGATATCGATTCTATTTCTATTATCTTAATATTTCCTCGTGGCGGTTTGGTATAATCTTTTTCTGCTAATATTTGTTCTCTAATTAATTCTTTTCGTTTGATTTTGTCTTTGACCTTCCAATAGTCCCATGATTTGTCTCCTATTTGGTATAATATTGCTCTGATAGCTTTATCAGAGGCATCTGTTTCTATAAAGAAAGGTTTATTCATATCTGGATATGATAATGATAGTACTCGCTTTAATTCTATTTTAAGCTTTTTCATTGCTTCTTGGCATTCTTCGTTCTAGTCAAAGTCTTTTTTGCCTACTCTTTTATAGAGTACAGTTGCTATTTTTGCAAAGTTTACTATATAATATCTGAAATAATTCATAAATCCTAGAAAGCGTTGTAACTCTTGTTTAGTCTTCAGTATCACAAATTTGTCTACATTATCTATTTTTAATACATTTTTTCCTATGTTTCCATGTGATACTTTACAATTTAGTATGATTGTCTCTTGCACAAGAAATTCGTATTTTGATGGTTTAATTTTTAGAACCACTTTTTTTAAGCGTTTTAACACCCTTGTTAGTTTTTCTTGTACTTCATCTTTATCTTTTAACAATATTACTATATCGTCTATATATATTAATACATATTCCAGATCTCCTAATATTTTATTTATTGCTCTTATTAGGTATGCGGGTGCTGTTTGGATTCCAAACGGCATTCCTTTCTAACAATAAGTTCCGTATTCTGCAAATTGTATCGCCATATATTTTCTAGATAGTTCTGCTACTAATATTTGCCAATATGCTAATTTTATATCTATTGTTATATAATATCTATATCTTGCTACTCTTTGTAGCATTTGTTTTGTATCGGGTAACAGTTTTCTAATAGGTAGGAAAAAACTATTTAGTTTTCTATAATCAATTGCAATCTTTTTTGTTCCATCTTTCTTTTCTATTACGATACAGGGACTTTGCTAATCTGTGTCTCCACTATATATTATCCCATTTTTCAGTAGATCATCTTTCATTTTTCTTATCACTATTAAATCTTCTTTTGAATACTTTTGTCCTCCTTGTATTTTGTCTTTTAATGATATTTTTCTTTCATCTATTTCTAGTTTAAATTTAAATTTTACCGGTATTATCACATTTGGGTCTACAAATGTATGAAATTCTTCTTTTTCTCAAAATACGTCGATATATTTGGTTAAAATATGTTTGATTAATTTCCACACTTCTGGTCCTCCAGTTTTAAGATAGCAGTCTTGAAGGATTTTAATTCTTTTCTTTTCACTTTCGATAGGTTCGTCGAAATTTGGTAACTTTTGAAGAAAATTTTGGTTCAAAATTCTTCCACTTCTTTGCATCAAAATTTTTAATTTTGACTTTCTCTCCATTCACTATGTGTTGTCCTTTTTTAATTTTAAATTTCTTATTTGAATAGTTCATTATTGTTATATATTTTCTATTTGCTATTCCAGGCTGTACAATTACTGCCTTTTTGGCTTCTCTAGCTGTGGTTTTTATGTAAAGATCTTCTTTTATTGGTTTTTGGATCTTGATATGCCTTATAGTCATAGGGGGTATATTTGTTTCTTCATTTGCTAATACTTGGTATTTAGCATTTTTCCTTCTTGTATTGTTGATAATATGATGTGTCTAATATGAGTAGGATATTGTTTCTTTATTTCTTTATAGAAGTTAAGATTTATATCTGTTATATCAGATATACTTCTGGGTATACCATATCCTTGTTTTGGTTCTGATTCAGAATCTATTTCGGTTTTGTGTTCAGCTAGATCTTCTAATTCTGCTTCTTGTTTTGCATTTTCTATCCATGCTTGTGCCAGATCTTTGTATTTGTATACTTCTCTCCAGTCATCATCCGTTAATGCTAACTGCCCTGTTGGTACTGGGTATAAGACTTTTTGTCCCTTCCATTCAGATTCTATGACTCGTGTCTATTTAGTTTCTTTTGGTTCATATCGTAGAGTTGATCCTCCTGCTTCATATTTGTTATTTGGATCATATAATTCTCCTTGTTGTTGGTAGTTATATTAACTATAATCATTATAGTCCTTTGTATCTTCTAGAATATAGCTGTCTAATTCAGCTATTTGTTGTATATCTTCTGGTATTAATTGTTCTTGTTCTGTTTGCCTGAATAGTTCTTGTCTTCGTTGATTTTCTTTTCTAAATCGTTCTAGTCTTGGATTTCTTACTGAAGATTAATTTGAAAGTTGTGATCTTTGTCTTTTATGACCATATTTTGGTAATACTGGTTGGTTATCATCATCATCATCGTCTTTGCTTGTTGGTATATAAAGATTGCTTCATTCTGATATTATATCAGTTGGTTGTACTTCTTTTACTAGTGGTGACGATTTATGTTGATATTGTTTAGAATAAGATAATTGTGTCGATTGCAATGAATTTCTTCTACTTAGCATTTGTTGTGCTGCACTTAAAGTGCCCTGTACCATTTCTTTTGCTTTATCAAAAAAGGTTGGTAATGTTGGTAAACTTGGTTTTGTTGTAGTTCTTGATATTGTTTGCTCTGGTATTTTTGAATATTGGTTTTTGTCTTGTTTATTTATCCATTCTATTGTTCATCTGAAGTTGTCATCTAGTAGCCATCTATCTGCTAGTTGTTCTGTTTCTCATGGTTCATTTATTGTTAGTATATATTCTTCATAATACAGATGTTTTAATGATAATGTTTTTGGTAATTCTAAGCCTTTTGTTCTGGCTCATATTTGTTCTTGGAATATTTGCTCTTCTTCATCTTTATTGTCATGCATCTTGTCTAAGTTTTCTAAGGATACTCCTAGCAGTTCTCTATATTTTGCTTGGTATTATTCTTGTAATGGTTCACTTTCGCATAATTCTATTTGTCTAGCGAATCTTTTTATTAGAATTCGTTGTTCATATTCCTCCATTGCTTCAAAGTCTTTTTTATCCAAGGTTAGTGCTTGGTTAGTTGCATATTTATATTCTTCTTCTAAGTCTTTTATTAGTTCCCTATTCTTCCAAAGAATAGCATCCTTTGTTTCTGTTAATGTGAATATTGTTTTATATAGATAAGCTTTTTTATCTTCTGCTGTTTCGGCTTCTGATATTTTTCTATTTGTGACTTTTTCAATCTCTCAGATGTGTTCATTAGTTTGTTGCTTTGTTAATTGGGAAACATATTTATAATTTGTTTCCATGCTTTCTAATCATTGTTTTAATTGCCTTAATCCTGTTCTAATTCTTGAATCTTCTTGTTCTTTTTCTAATTGTAAGATCCAATCTAATTGTGACAATTATGTTTTAATAAATGTTCCTATTTTTGGTGTTTTGATTTTGCTTTCTTCTTGTTGATTAAAGGTAATATTTAAGCTTTTAGCTTTCCTTTCTTATCTTTTTTAGTATTGTCTTTTTCTATTACTTGTTTTCTAAATTGATCTATTTCTCTTTGCGCAGCTTCCAGATAGAGTTGATTCAATTTCTTTTCTTGTTTATTTTGCGGTACTTCATATTCCACTGCAACTGTCATTCGTTTTACTTGTTCTGCAAGTAATGTTATTTCTAGGTCATTAAATTCTATTCCTAATGGAATTGTCATTCCTGATGATCCTGGTCCTTCATACTGATTTCTATGTTCTTTTAATTCTTGGTCTTTTCCTTTAGACCATTCTTCTTGAGGTGTTTCTTCTTGAAATGTGTCTTCTGCCTATTCTCTTAGTTTAGAGATTTTATGTATTTGTGCTATTTGATTAGCTGTCTCATTTGACGGTGTCTCTACTACCACAGCATAGACCTCTTTATACTGTATAATCATCTGATATACTTCTTGTTGTATACTTGCTTGTGGATCTAATAGGTGCTTATATTTATCCATTCCTTTGCCAAATATTACTTCCGGTGGGCTGTTATTCATGTGTACTAACATAATTTCTTGTCCATACATTTTTAGTATGTTTCGATATTCATCGATTTTCTTACCTTGCCCTGCAGCATACCAGTGCTGCGTATCGAAGCATATACCTATTCGCTTCTTTAGTCTTGCCCTATCTTTATATCTTAACTCTTGACTTGTACTATTTACTATATCTATGAGGTCTGGAATAGTTGCACTAAAACAATTGTTGCTGGCTGAGTTTTCTAATAGTAATCCGATATCTCATCAGTTTTTGTTTATTACGCGTAATATTTCATTAATATTATCGATTACGTCTGATCGTTTCTTATCTCCAGCCAAGGTATCTATATATATTACAGCCCATCTAATGTTCATTTCTTGCACTCTTGCAAGTTCTTGTAATATTCTATTTATTTTTCAATTTCTCTTACCATTGTGCCCATACAATGGTTGATTAATATACAAACCTAAGGTAATATGTAGTACCATTTTTAGCCCAATATTCTTATTGCCCATTATGATATTATTGTCTTCTGTTTTATCAGATTCACCATTTTGTAATTCGGCATATCTCTTTTTTTGTTCATTTTTGAATTGTCCATTTAATTCTTTATATGTTAGGAAGATTTGAAGGATGTTAGAGTCTGTAGCTAAAGCAGTTCTTACTATTTATGACCATCTGCCATCACAAGTGGTTCCTATTAATTTGATTTTTTGTTTATTCCTTTCCACTTGTTTCCTTAATAGGTTAAGTTGTTCATTGAATAAATAAAGTATTAATTCATTAATCAATTTTTTATATTACAGATTATGATATTCCTGTTCTACCTATTTTTGGGTACTGGGCGCCATTCTTAATATTACTCCTTGGCGACTAGTATGATTTGACACTATTCTTGATTGGTTGTGGTCCGTATTAGATACCACGTTGCGTGTCATTTGCGGGTTTTTTTCTGATTTTTGAGGGGTATCTCAGTTTTCGAGATATTTGGCTAGCTTGGACTCGCTTAATCTCAAGGTTCAGAGGGGTACCTGAGAAACTAGATCATTATGAATAGAGACTTGATCATAATGCCTAAACCTTTTTAGAATTTGGTAGTTCTTATCAATATCTTGTTAGTTTATTGGTTTACCATGTATAAGAATGATGCATCTTTTCCGATCTTTAGATATATTTAATCATGCTTGATCGATTTTAGAGAATAGAAGGTATGCTTGGTTTCCTTCAATAATTGTTACTTAAGGTTTTCTTTGTATCCATCTACTTGAAAGGGTACTGTAATTTTTCCATAGTTTTTAATTATCTTTCTTCCAGGTAATTGTGCTGTCCTGGTGGGTAGTTCTTTTAATAATTTGAGTAAATTGTATTCTCGTACTAGGTCTAATCCTATGACATTAGCACTTGCTTCCTCATCGAGTAATACTTTAATTGGTTGATTATTTATTAGTGCTATAAAGAAGTATGCTTTCTTTCTTTTTGGTTCATTTGGGACTATTTGTGAATCTTTCACAAATTTATAGTCTTTAAGTAAGTATTGGTAATCAGGATCTTCTGATGCTTTCTTTTTCATTTTCTTTGATAAATTTTCTTTGGCAGAACGTATCGTGTATTGGTTATTTAAATATGATTCTTTATTTAATAAATTTGGATTAATACATTTGAGGTTATTGATATTTTGTAATTGATACATATTTATATGTTCTCTAGTATAATCATATTGTTTGTTATATGGAGATTGGTCCTGAACACTAGGCAGGTCTCCTAATATGATGCAGGAAGTCTTAACTCTCTGATATAATAGATGATCTTTAAAATCTATTAACTTCTTAAAAAATTAAAATTTTAAAAAACTAACCAGTAATTTTGTT